GAGCAATAGTAATACCAGGATTCCCTTTGAAAAAGACATTCAGTGTCAGAAAAATCATTCTTGCTCATCCTCCTTGGCGTCAGCACAATCTAACAGCATTTTTGCCTCTGCCTACAACTAGTAATACGAGCAACCTCAGTAAACACGCATTCTGAACTCACAAAACGTATTCGAGGTTTCTTGTGAAGCCTTGTGACAAACCCTATTGAGTGCCAGTTTGTGTAACTTCTTGCAGGGGTTTTTAACTTCGTTATTCAGTGAAGGATAGTCATTTTCACGTCAGTTTGGTTTGAAAGGGAGACTCACCCGAAACCCAGCTGAATCTCTTTTTTTATGTTATTCTTCAGCTAGGATTGTAGTGGTCAGTCTTTTCTTCATTTAACCAGTTTCGTTCAGTTTGTTTTGTACATTTGCACTCACCAGATCACGCGTCTTGCTTGTTCCACCACAAACATATCACGTGACGAAATCCTGTCCCGCTTGCAGTCCTAACTGACAACAGGTACACCACAATTTTCCACATATTTTGTTTACGCTGCATCACTTACCACTTTCACCCACATCAGGTCAAGTTTGTGCAACTGTCACACTGGCCGCTCCTCTTTTTACATTGCACACAATAGATACCCATGTAACTCGGCGCAACACACACGCGCGTACAGCGTAGGAAGACAACCGAACTCCACAAGTCCACGAACAGTTACGGAACACATGCAAGAGTTATAGTGCAAAGAAAACACTCCCCCGGACCTTCATTCAGGAACCCTTACCACTTCTGTTCAAACTATACGTCACCTTTCAACTTATTCCACTTTTTACGGTGTGCGACTAGTAACTGTGACCTACCGCAGTAAAAACTGTCATTAATGCATACACCTGAATGTTACTAAGGTCATTCATAAGCTGCAAATTAATAGGATTCGTTTTTAACCCAGACTCTACAAAGTTAGAGAACGAAACTCATTTGTACGCCAATTTTCCACAACCTTATGAAGTGATCATTGTTTTATGTTTTGGCAGAAAGGCTGCCCCACAGTTCCCATCCGGGATGATGATGATCCGGGATTCCGGCGCTGTTCAGAAGGCAGGCAAAAATCAGCTCCGTTACTTGAAAAGTGCTAAGCTGTCGGTTGGTAAGCGATATATCATTAGCCTAAATGTGGAACCAGTTAGAACACACCAGCATTGGTTCAGTGAGAGTCTGTGTGCCGGCAAAATTTATTCATCCGCTTTAATCTCCTGTAAAGTGATGTTGGAAAAGATATCTCACTAAAGAGGTAAACAGACAGGTCTTTTCACTTAAAATACATTCGCTTGATGATGGCTTTCGTAGTTCAGTGGTATTCAGGATAAATTAGGACAGCAGAGAGCCAAGATTTTTAATCATGGTTTTCGGATAGGAACGGCTTTTCGAATTTATGGTTCATGCCACGAATGTTGTTCAGTTCTGGCTGATTGTCACAGTGGAGATCTCACTTGCATGAGTGGGGCATCCGAATTGGTCGGATAATGTAACAACATGTCAACTAAAGATTTAACCATCTGAATACCGAAGAACTTGTAGGTGTTCACCAAGCCAAACTCTGAGTGTGGCGATGACGTAAGAAGAGACGAAAGAAATAAGAATTTTTGCTACATGACTGGTAAGACATTCGAAGACGTTCGATGCACTTGAATCCGAAACTGGTCTTCGGAGGCGTTGCGCGAAGTAAACTGAATTTTCGATCTAGACGAGCCCACGCGAATTCTCAGTAGGGCCCATGTTCTCACATAATGCTAGAACGCTCACAGAATGTTCGGCGATTTGCGTAGATCAGTGAGCAGTTAACTTTCATTAAGCCATTCTATATGTGCTCCCATATAACGCACGCGGACTGACTGCTAAACACTCCTTGGAAGTACACAGGTTCAGTTCAATGAGCCACAAATAGTTTTTATTCACTGACAGTCATCCCGTCTCTGGCAAGATCTACTCTGCTCTAAACGTTTTTTACAAAGAGGCCTTCGATGCACTGGTTGCCAGTGTAACAAAGGCCCTGTTGTACATAATATACCCTTTTTACTGGCTTGGACGGTAGTGTTCAACATGTCATCTTCAGGATTCACTACTTTGTCTATGAACAGTCGCTACGGTATGAACCAGGACCGGATTGCCCGAGCATTCTTCCTTAGATCGTGCCGTAATCCGAGGCTTTCGTCACGTGCCATTTGGATTCCGTCTGTATCAGTCACTTCCCTAAACACACTACTGCCTCTAAATTTCGTTGTCTGCCAAAGTTTAAATCGCATTCAAATGGTCTACATCAGGTAGCTGCCACTTCAGCCATCACATGCTGGATAGCTGGCCACGCATCGACACGTTACCTGTGCTTCTCCGCACACTAGAGGCTGCGGCGACGCTGCAGCACAGCTCTCGGCATGCGGGACTTGGCACACACGCGATCCGTTCTGGTCAACGATTTCACATGGGTGAAAAATCTGACGAAACGCACTCTGTCGCACTTTTACTGCGCTCAGATGGTTAGAGGAAAATTGACATTGAGGTGAGAAGAACGGACACCATGTCACATCCAAAACGTCAGTCCGTATTTTTCCACAATACAAACTAATGGATGGGTTGGAGTCTTCGAGAATTCTTACTACCAAGAGCTTTTGTATGTCACTGAGATCACTCCGAAAATGGAAGTTCCTTATCAGATATAGATACATTCAATACACTGACCTCGTCCCCAATTTGGTGAACAGGCCACTAAACTCAACCAAAGCTGATGAAATTCATGCATTGCGCACCTCAGAAGCAGTAAAAAATGCCCAGTCTGCAGGAATGATTCACGTGACTTTCGGTTGGCTGAATGGAAAGTCACAGCAAAATCCACGGCTACCCAGTGTTGAAATGACGTTTTCATGTCGCTCTGTTGTTTCTTCTTGTGTCAAAGACTGCATTATGCCCCTCGAATTTGCGGATATAACCCATTACACCAGCTGATCCAAATATCCTACACAAAAATCTGACTCACTCCCGTTTGTCCAAAGTTGAGAATCTCTTCTGTTCTATCAATAACCCATGCCAGTTTAGTCATTCTCGCGACATTCTACGTCAGATCATGCACCTGTGTCTTGCCATTATGGTATATCCCTGTTATTTTCCGACCTACTCAAGGATTTTCACCTTTTTAAACGACACCTTACTCATAACGGGAACTACTCACAAGGTTGCTGAAAGCTCTTCGACAGCCCACGACCGGTTTCGCCCTTCTTGGGGCTCATCAGGTAGGAGCAGTCCCCGAGTTTCCGTCAACCTTATGATCTACTTGAACCTTACTTCACGGAAGCGTCATATCGGAGCCCATTAGCCTTACAAGGCTCTTAGCTGCAAAACGTTTGCGAGTGGAATGAACCTTTTTATGCCAAAATGTTGCGTATGTGCTGCAACGGAAAACCATCCTAATGTACGTCCATATTTTTGTCAACTGAAGCAATCATACCTCTGGCGGAATACTTTCCTAGCATCGCTGATACCTCCGGATGCCTAGATGGAGCTCAAAAGATTGGACTCGAGCTCTCAACCCGATTGCCTGTCTCTTCTAGTCCAACAGGGACACGTCGTAGCTTTCGTAAATTCAATTCCATTGTGCGAATACTGAACGCCCGTTACACGTCACCCTCGCCGCGTTTTTCAACTCGCGTATTCTCAAGCTATCAAATACTCTCTGCCCATCTATCTTAGCAGGAAAGTCTCGCAGTCAGATTAAAGAGACCTGAAAACATGTACATGTCTGTTCAAAAACTCGGTCGTTTCGTTTTTGGCCTCGACATCCTATAAGGTGAGAGACAATCAACAGTCAATATCAGTAAGCCTTTCCCCCCAAACCTCCGCTTTGCTTTTAATAATGTTAGACATTTCTTGACGAAGATATGCTGATACATTGGGAAGCAAATATGACTTAACGAGACTATCTGCGTTTATGTAGGACAGAGCAAACAGGCTGTTTGATTCAGTAAGATGTTTGACAGTGGTGATTTTTGAAGTTAACTCCCCTTTGTAGCCTGGCGGTTACAGCTATCTCGGTGAAACGATGAAAAATGTTTGACCTTGGCACGGTTATGCCTTCTTGATGGTTTGATGCGAGTACGGATAGCGATATGCGGAGCAGAGACTACTCAAACATTGCTCTTATAAAACGTCATTCATATTTGGAAGGCAGTTTCTTAGCCTGGGTTAAAAAAAACTACGTCAACAGAAAGTGTGCACATTTAGAAAGAATAGAGTTGGGAGCAGGAAATTCGGATGCCTCCGAAGAGCGAACGGTTCGCCTGAGAGTAAAGACCGTATACTTGGACACAACTAGGAACAGCAAAAAGGCTGATCACATGCAAGTACAATTCAATTCCGAGGGTTTTGTAGGATGACTTCATTCTCAACCGTGCAGATTCCGTGCTGCTGAATTTCGTCAGCGTTTAGTGCAACACGGGACAGATTAAGATCACCGACCTCTGAACATTTCAGTACTAAAGTGAGCGACGAGTTAAATGGGTGATAACTTGGGATTAGCCAAAGGGGACTTCTCGGTCCCAAATCCAGACTGTGGAACTTCTCTGGGTAATATAGTCACGGAACAAAAATAGGCGCACTTCTAAAGAGTTGGCGACCTTATCTAACCCGTCAATGCGCCGACACCGTAATGAGTCACAATATGAAGCTGTCTCACAACCTAGGCATCACACGGGTGATAGAAGAACTGACTACCCTGGTTATGCACTTGGATCGGAGATTTGCCTAATCCTTCTCTCCTCGGAAAACAGGGTGTCGGACAATGCACAGCCAGTCGAGTAGTCTCCGTATACTATAATTACGAATAGAGAGAGAGATAGAGATGAAAAAAATAAGTAGACGATGGAGGAATGGATGAATGGGGAGTGGAAAAGGGACAGGAATGAACCGAGTGACAGTCAGTTTGAAAAAAAAAAACGACAGACGCGTAGCAAACAGCTAAGCACCGTAAAAAAGCGCGACATACAAAAATGGAGCGGTATAAAAGAGAGTGCATATACAGAAAGGAAATATGGGATGGAAAATGCACAAAGAATCTGGTCGTAAAACGAGAAAAATGAAAACCGAAAAATACCTAGACGGAAGAGGCAAATATTGGATCGATAAAATAGAAAATGAGAGCGGGCGCGAGCGTTAGTTGAACCTGTCAGTAGTCGTAAGATGAACAACGAAGATGACGACACAACCTTGGTCGCCCAAGAACATTGAATCCGTAGTGTCAAAAAGAGGAGAGAAAAAGCAAGAGATCCGTACCGAATCAAGTACACACACCCGTCGGATAGCTTGTAAATGCAAAACGATTGCAACTACTTTGAGTGATTAAAAAACAAGAAGATTTGTCAAATGCATTCTAGCGGATCGTCTGAAGGAGAGTGAACTATTGGGGTTCGCTTAGTTGTCACCGGAGAATACAGCTAGCTTTCGAAAGACAGAGTCGGTATAGCAAGATACAACGATGGTATAGTGAAGACTCGCACCAATAAGAGTTAAGACAGGCGATGGGTGATGAATCGGGCAGGGTCTGGACGCTTCCGGCGATTTGAATGTGCTAGTTGAGCGACACCTGAGAAAGTCCCATTGCCGCAGTTCGACTGGCATTGGTTGGTTGGCTCGGTGGTTGAACTGCATGCATCGTTCGCCGGTGACGGATTATTTACGGTAGGCTGCTGCTGTACATTTGTACCAGTAAAAACATTCACAGTCGAGGTGTTTCGATCCAGTGTGAGCAGGGGCTTTGGGCTGCGCATGCGGCGATTATGAAACCAATGTAAAACCTTGAGGACAGAGGTGCGGTAGGGTGTGTGAAAAAGATAGTCAGACATTGTTGTCGGCGAGTAAGTCTGTGAATGAGGTCTAGCAACTGGTAACTTAGTGTGACCAAGCGATACAACGTTCAGCTCTTAATAAGCATCCACAATGCTATGGTGTACCCAAGATATAGCGAAAATTTTTAAGCTCAAAAGGATGCGTAACTAAGTGGCGAATGATTACACCGAAGAGAAAGTCGGTTCTGTCGCACCCTATTGGATAATTACGCTGGTGTAATACGAATACAGCACGTAATCCTCAAATGAGTCGGTGTGTATCAACAACTCGTCCTGTCAGTTGCTAATGATGGTATAACATGGTGAAATTCACAGCTTCTGCTAAGTAGGACATGTTCACCAGTTTTACATTGCTATCTCCTCCAAATTTAGCGGAAGGGACAGGAAGAATGTTGAAAAGTAACCTGTCAACCACGCCGCATCTTAGGACCCAAATAACTACGAACCGCTACCGTGAAACTTTACGGCGTACCTGAAGAAGAATCAGTGATCTAAATCGACAAAAACTATGTGAAAGGAATAGGAAATAATAAAAGCTCAATACACATTCTATCTCAAAGATGAACTAAGGCCCTAAAACAGCATTTTTGAAAGATGTTTTGATGAAGGAGTGACGTTTCCTAACACTCGATGGATCATTCTCTTTTGTACCTATGTCATAGTTACTTCATTTATGTGGCGGATATGTTAGCACTACAATGCAATAGTGAAAGCAGACATTGGGTCTTCATTGCAATCCGGCGTCCAATGTAAAGCCTTGTCCCGAATGGATACTATCTCGCGCAATAAAAAATGGGTAGTTGAGCGCTTCCGAAGAAAGCCGACGACGAACAGGTGATCAGATCATCTGAGCACCACCGGCTACGTTAAGAGGTAACCCATAGCGCTTGAAACTACTGCTGGAATGAAACAGCTGTTAACAAGAAAACGATTCTACAGGTGGCTGAATTCAGAAAACACCACCACGTTCGCAACGAACCTGGCTGTCTAAGTACAATTTACTCCGGATCTTGATAACAAAACTTTTAGGTTGACAGGATAGTTCAGTCGACCGTCCAGCCACTCGCCGAACTAACCCATAGGATTCAGGTCCATGATATCAATGGGGTTGGGTGATATCGAATAAATCATATAGGGCATCGATCACCCAATCGACAGTAAAGCGATGAAAAATTAAACTGCGGCCGGAAGATACTAAACACGTGCATATTCACTTATCGGATCGGTTCACAAGGAAATTTACTCTACCTGGGTATGGGCTATCATGTTTTAGTGGGGTATTCCAGCTGTACGGTGATGTCTCAAGCCAACAGATAAGTTCGGTGACAACCATTGAGGTATCCACCTAGTCAAGATAGTGACTAAGGTGTTCGGTACGTCCCTGCTCAATAATTCCGCAGCTAAAAGCCTAGCAAAGGAAGTTTCTACCCTGGTAAAGAACCTACACTGTGCAACACATAATGGAAAAACCTTCCACTTCATTGATCTACGATCCAGGTGAGTAGAGCTCTTTTTTTTGACTAAATACAACTGTTCTCGTGAAAGTCAAAACGTAGGCGGTAGAGACCGATAAAAATGGACAATCAGAGCAATCCGTATCATAACCTACCGTTTTATAGTTCAAGTCTAGCTGCCTGGCCAATTCCCGTAGTTTCTCGACAGGAGGATAGGGATGGCGGTTGAAGGTAGCGACAAGCGCCTCTTTTTGTGCTGGGGTGAACACAACACGATTGCGTCCGGGTGACGATTTGGCAGGAGAGAGAACAAGCGGTCTGACATGTGTGATCGATTCCAAACCAAAAGAGCGAGGCGCGTCTGTCTTCAGAGGTGTATTAGATCGTGAAGAGTTTGTGCTCTTTGCTGGAGAATCCTCAGACTGGCCTCTGCTTCTAGCGAACTTCATTAGACCCGAGCTGGTTGCACGCTGCATTGCGACCGCCGCAGCTTTCGCGATGTCAAACAAACTCTGTCGTTCATATTCATCTAACTGTTCTGATGAACGACCTCCATCTTTAGGTGGAATAGGACAGGGTGGTGGTTCTGATTTCGCAATTTTCACCGGTGTATTTCTGGATCCTGGTATAGACTGAGTAAGGGCAGGTCGCTTCCTGGAATTCGAAATCTCCATGTTGGGAACTGTAGCCGCACGAGAATTGGAAACATCACGCTCAGACGTTAAGTCTATCAAGGGGACGTTCGGTGAATTATTGGCAGGTAACGAGCGGAACAATGCTAAAGACAAGGATGGGAAGAAATGTATTTGAATTAGGCATGAATACATGCAAAGAAAAGTGAAGCACTAGAAGAGGTCACTTATCCATATATGTGGTGACTTTCATTTGATTCAGATCTTTGTTCCACTCAAGAAAAGCAACACGCAAATCCACGTGACGAAGATCTTGCAAAACACAAACCATCTCAATCGCAGACCTTCTACAGGAAGCCAAACCTCACCTACACCAGGTACCTATTCTATAAGATACTTAGTTTCCACGTCAACCATCCACTGATGCATATAAGCTCTCATGACTGAATATGGTCCTACACAACTGTCATTTTTGGAATAAGGTGAGTGCAATTACCGAATGCCACAAATCCGGTACGCACAAATAAAAACAGCATAGCAGTCGTAGATAATACGAGCGTTCGGAGGTAGTTTGGAAGTAACATGTAAGGTCCTTTTGAGGGAGGAAATGCTTTTATACACTCTTGAGTACAGCACAAAGTTCATATTCCAACAACTTTTAGAGTCAGAAGTAAAGGCATTTCCATCAGGTCGGTTCAGTTTGATGACCGTGAACCTGTATGTAACTAAGGTGGTTGGGATCGCCACAGCAATAGCAGCGGTAATGTGGGATAGAAGGAACACATTAAAACATTTGAATAAAGGAAAGAATCAAAAGAACAGCGGGTTTGTGATTAGGAATAAGATGACAGATACAAGACCACCGCTGCTTGTGTAACATCGTCCCCAACCACTAGTGGGATGAATCTTTGATGACATGCACCAGTGTAACCAAGACCCACTTCTAAGCTTCCCATGCTCCAGGTAATGCGCTCTCCACCTTATTGTATCTTCCGGGCGGAGCCTGTCCCGAAAAACAATCACCTGGCGATGGCACATGTGGCTGAGCCAGCATAGTTTCCACGGAGGGAAACCAGTCGATTTGTTGCCAAAAACCTTTCATCGCACTACACTACTGTTAACCCGTCCCCATGTTAGATGTGCAGTGCGTCGAAGGCACCAAAAGTCAAAGACAAGCAATATTCTTTTATCTTCAGCCCAAATTGGATGGGCTTCGCAACCGCAGAGCAACACCGGACGCACTACCACTTGTACGGCTTCCTTTTCTTCGACAAGCTAGTGTTCGGTCGACCTCAGAAGTGACTAAGTTGAAAGAAAGCATAAAAGGCTCTAACGGTTCGTTTCGTCAGCAATCCTGTCATCCGACGTGGTGCACCTACCCAGATCGGTAGATATGTACACTACTACTTGTAGTCCTGATGCCGTTGTTAGTTTTGTTGGTTCACCTGCCTAATGTTGTAACAGCACCGTGCACTTTGAAAGCCAAGGTACGTGGTGATTATCGTGTTTTGTGTCCCGATGGGATCGGAACAAATTGGTACAGTACCCTCCGCATACTCAGTCTCTAAAGGCCTCCCCCATAAAGAAGCTTCACGCCACAGGTAGGGGACACAGCGGACGTTTCTGTGGTACACAGTTGAACCATGAATTTGAAACGAAGAGGTGAAAAGAAGCAGCCTTAACAGAGTGCACTTTTGGTGATGAATTCAGGAAAATACTTTCCATAAAATTTCACCCAATTGCGGATGCTGGAATATAGGGATAAGAGAAGTGTCACAAAAATATCCGGAAGACCTTTGAAGAAAAGGCTGCCACAAACAGCGCGATCAGCTGTTTAGTCTAAGACAACAATTGTTAGCCTTCTTTGTTGAGAGAAGTTGCCTTAAGGCGATTTGGTTAATCTATCCATGATCCGGACGGAACCCTGTTTAGTTTTCACGACTCCGCTCTGCGCCGGTTTTAGTGAGCCTGTGCAGGAAGTAACAGGTGGGGTGACTAGACTTATATCCAAGTGATTCTCACCTTTTTGAAGAAACAAAATAAGAGGTTTGCCAGCTCTGTGACAATTCGTTCGTCTTACAAATGCTCCACATGAGTTTCGTCAGACTGTGGGCGAGCCTTTATTTATCCTTAAACAAGTGAGGGTTCGGATGAGGCATATGGCTTGTCGTGAGATTCAGGCTACACTGGACTGTGACCTCGTTTTTTTTAATTAATCCATCGGAACGACTTAAATCATGAGCAACCAGCAACAGCTACAAGAAAAAAAGGGTGGCACTTAACCGGTCTGGCTGTTCACAGCTAGGGCTAGTGCAGGCATGAAATAAGCTAAAAATTGGCGAATACCGGCGAGAAATACCCTGTTATGTCATCTCTCCCAATTGCAAAGACCCATTCACGAAGGACGGAAGCTTTTATTCAGTCCAAGGTTTGCGAACATAAGCCACTAAAGCACAACCGTTTGGACGTACTCGCGCCTCTTAGCAGCGATGCTATTTGAGCATAAGTATCTAACGAAAGCAGAGAGTAGAAACGCTTTGCTGTTTGCGTGATGGGAGAGCAGTATAGAACATATAGACCTATAATTTTCATTGTGCTGCACGTCGGCGCCCTTCAGTACGCTAGATGTTACTGCGCTCGATTCTCGGATAGGTCATTGGAAGATAAAACGGTGCATGATAAAATTATCGATACGTGTACATACGGGGCAGTCCATAAACTTGACAAGGATGTATACGTGGAAGGACTTACAAAAGAAACTGAAATGTTTCAAAAACAGGACAATAAATCCCACACGACTCATTACCCAAGCTGGGTAATTTTCTATTCGGTAGGCTCCGAAAATTGGGATATTTCAACGTACATATTGTTCCGAACTTCTACGATAATGGATATTCCCAAAACAGTCTCGCAACACTCGTATCATGTTAGGGACCGTTTTTGGTTTTGTAACGTTCAGTTGCTGATGAATTGGTCTTCAGTTGGCACTCTTCTAGCGACCACACCAATCACCAAAAAAATGCGCAAGATATATAAGGTATATGCATAAGTTTCCACGACCACTTGAACATACACTTGGTCGCCCAGTTTAATTCACTAATTCACTGAAAGTTTTTTCCTGCTCCGCCAGATAAACCACACTTTTAGTTTATGGGTTGTGAAGTACAGCAGTGTGTGCCCACCATATAGTTCGACTGAACTTTTTGACTCAAGTCATTATGCGGCTTAGGGGTGTGTCGTTGAGCTGAACTTTTTCGGACTGTTGATACTTTCCATCCTCCAAAGTATCGTCCATACCTGAAACCACTACCGTATATGTATATTTACCACCCAGATCCTATACGCAGCTGTAAGCCCTTGAAACTTTGACCCTCGACCTATTGAGCTGAGTTCTGCGTACCCTTTATGAGCGCTTCTTAGGTGTTGTGTGCACACGTCAATCGTGCCGCGTGGCCGTTTTCTCAGGATAAGATGGCGTTTTTATGGCATTTTGAGACTTTCTTTGGAACTCCACTAACGCATGCAACCAATTAAATGGATATTCAAACAATTTGAAGTTTTCATTTGTTCTATGTACACCCTAATTATTCTACTCGGATGTGTGCGCGTTTCGTTTATCCCATGTTGTGGTAAAATTGGTGAACGGTAGAATCAAAATGTCTTTGCGAAATAGCCAAGAGTATGATGGCTTCTTTCGAAATACGTTTCCGACGGAGAGAATGACTGGCTTCGAACGGATGGAGTCCGAAACAGGCCGGTCACTCAACAGTGCACTGAGCGTGTGTAGTGGAGTATCCACCCAAACTCTTCCGAAAGGAAACAAGTTGGTCGAGCTACCAGGAACATGCCTTAGGACAGTTTTGGAGGTGCCTAAACGGATTCTTTTCAACAATATAGATAACTTTCCGTTGAGGCGAACGGTTTCGAGTCCAGGGCTAAGTCAGTCGTCTGAACGAGTCAACCAAAACGCACCAATCAGAGTTGCTTTGGTTGGTTTGCAGATCTAGTTACCCTCAAGACCGCTGCTCAAGCACGCCAAATTTCCAAACAGGAAGAGTGGGAATATCCCCCCTGCGGGGTCCTGATACCAAGTAGATCGGCTAGAAGAGTTCTTACATTGAAAAAAGTGACAATGGTGTATAGCAAGTCCAAGTCCAACGCGTAAGTAATTTAGTAACGAGACATACTGTTGACTTTTGCTTGGAGGATATGTTAACCAGCTGATTATGGGACAATTTCAAATTTATCGTTCCCGGAAACATGAGCAGCGAATCCAGCACGGAACTTAGAACAATGTGTACAACACGAGCCTTCGAGAGGAAACGAAGTGTGTAAGAAACTCATATCGTGCACAGACAACAAAGACGTGCAAAGGCATTCCACAGCCGACCAGTATAACAAGCGCATCTTACCCTGACGATTAATAAGAGCCTCCACTATGGGTTCCATCGGATTGGGCTGTTGTAGCCAAACATATAAACGCGCATAGGCAAGCCGAGATCGTGGAGTCAGAGATGCCCACCGTTCTGTTCGATTGAGTAAGTCGTTCACCCAGGCTTCAGACATGCCAAACACGGCCTCAGCGAACAAACGTTGGGAGACATTGTGCCGACGAAGGTACTAAGTAATGAGACAAAGGAAGAAATTGTGAAATGTCGATGATAGTACAAGTGGTCCTCGGGAAAAACAATACCCTCAGAAAAAATGATTAACAGAACTGGTGAAAACAGATTACTCTTCAGTAGGCTAGCGCAAGCGAGTGAAAGATGTAGTGGACGAAAAAGTGAAGTTTTCTCTCGGGTCAGTATGATGTAAACTGCTAAAAGACAAACTGCTATGGGTTCTAGGTTTTCCGAATTCGACTTTGGACATCAATTACTAGCTACGTATCAGATAGAGAGTAACGTTAAAGCGTCAACAATAGAACGGTGAATATAACAAACACTATTGTGATAAACAGCCGATTAACTTCAAGCATGTTGAGCATATACGAGGAAAACCAGTGGTGTCTTCAGGAGCATCTAAAGCCCGGTAAGCTGTACGAACTCCCACTCCATTTCCAAAGAGTTGAATAATCAAACTAGTGAATGTGGCGTCCCAGTGTTAGTACACCTTCAAATGTGACCAATGGCTTGGTTCGATACGATACGAAACCACCTTATACACCGTGTTTGAACCCGATATGAATATGATCTCAGTTTGCAAACGAGTAATTGACATAGAAGGAGCATAGTAAGTTGGGTTACTGTGATTGTAGTCGGTACAAAACTCAGAGCTGATGCAAATGGTAGGAATGAGAAGCAAACTATTTGTGCTATGAAATACCAGCGAACATAGCTCACATAGTACCACAATGAATCAAAAGGGACAGGAAGAGCACGGTGCATGAATTCCTCGAACATACATTTTTTGTACGGATGCATAAATCCCACGTGTCCAGCTCAGGGAGACCAGAAGCTAGCGTGTCAACGTCGGCGGCGGTAAGCCCTTGGAAGGTGAGTGAAGATAACGACGCAATAGTTTTCTGACTGAGTTGAACGGGGGACTCCGAAAATGTGTTGGACCCAGAATCTGCTAAAGCTTTACTGGCTTTAATCCCGGAAGAAGTTGCATCCACATTGTTAGTATGATGTTGACCGTTTATCGGTGGGGGTTCATGTCCTTCTTGACGTAAACAATAAAAAATAACATATGGTTAGAAGAGGCGAGCATCAGTCATGGAACTGGCCAAATCTAGGGGATCCCGCAAAAAGGGTTAACATACACATGAACTCCCAAGCCCAAACCTGAGTCGCACGTGTATCTAACTGAAGGTTTTGAAGATTTTGAGAACCTGACAGACCAAAGAATAGGCAGGAGGTGGAGGCTCTAAAAAGCCACCAGCACGGTGACTCATATTTGTCAGTCCAATCGGGTGTAACTGAAGAGATGAGCCCCACAATACAATAATATTCTACAAAGAACAGTTCCAACATGGTGAAAAGTTACTTTCGACTTCTGGTAGTGAAATCAACGGTTCCGACATATCCTTTGTGCCCTACATCTTCAACAGAGTCCAGACGATGGCCGGAAGCGAGTCACGCTAGGGTCACACATTGATCGTGTGATCAGGCTTAGTGGTGACGATGGTCGCAGCATACTCTGGAAAGTCAAGATTGGCCAGCCCAATCTGGCGTTCTACTGAAAGGTGGAAAAGTCGTTTTCCAAAGCTATGAAAAGTGATGTGAAGACAGTAAGGAAGCGAATTAGTCATTTTGACTGAGGAACTGTAACCGAGGAACCAAATATAGTGACTGATGGTCAAAAGCGACTTCGTCTGACTCAAGAAAGATAGATCCGGAGTACGAAACGGGAGGTTTTCCTCCCAGTCCCTGGTCTCCCTTTGGTGACACCTAGCCCGTTCTCCTCTGTTGCACCAACGCTTCCCAAAGCGGTTGCTCAACTTCCTTGTGCCGTTTACATCAATTTCACGGATTCAACAAGCCACTTGAAGAATACTTCGACGTATTCGGAAAAGCATACTTGAGTGACGCGCAAAATCACAGGCGAAATATTACCAACGTCATAGATGAAAATTGTCAGACATCCGTGATTGGTTTCTATATGAATCTACCCCTGGAGGTTAGATGTTCTCAGCCGGATTATTGGGGAGTTCTAGTGTGAAAGGAAATGACTCATGAAGCTTGTTACTTTCAATATGGAGGTTTCCTAAGAAAAGAAATAATAGTAATAACAATTCTTCAGCTGTGGCAACCCTTCAGTGCACTGTGGCCATGACACTCGAAGCACAATGCCTGGTATTGCTGGGATGACCAGACCCATAGACGGGCAACTGAAAATCGAGGTTTGGGTTCGAACCATGGACCTTCCGGTTAATGCATTCGTGCCTTGGCGACTAAACAATATTCGGATCTTACCCAAATAAGCCCCGCTACTAATGCAAAAAGTGCATGTGCGAAAAGTAAAATCCCGCCACTTTTTGCCAGCTACAATTAAATGTACGCACACAACCTTGACCTATATTTGATGAAAGCAATTCCTAAGCCGCATCTGGGCACATTTTGTGCAAAAATTTCCTCCGGAGGTAAAACTGTGAATGAATTTTCTGACGCCTTCAACTGTCGTTCATAAGGAGACAGGAATAAGTTTTTTGCAAAGCCACGGAGTGATCCATCAGCAACGTTTATCCAACAATGGCCACCAAATGACACTTTCAACTGTTCCTGACAGGTGGAGGTGTCATGCCCGACAGCGTCGACAAGAAATCGGTCTTCGAAAGGGAACTTGGCTGGAGCGGTCTAGGATGGAGTTTAGGACAGTAATTCTATGGCTGGTCCAAAAATTTGGCAAAACTCAAATTCTGCTCAGAGAAATTATCTATTAGCCTCACGACCGGTGTTGACTGGAACTTTCTTCGCGAAGTTTGTGCCTGGCGGTTTTTGCAGACTCTAACGTTTACCGACGGCCCAGATCTACACGTCGAAATCAATGAAACGCTAATATCTCACCGTAAAAACCACGGAGGACAAGTCTTTCCCCGGCAGTGGACTTCCGGAGGAATCTGCCGGAAAACTAAAGAGGTGTTCATGAATGCAGTGCCAGACCGAACTGCGGCCACATTGATGGACACAATGCAGGCCCGCATCACTCCCGGCTCAATCATCATCTCCGATATGTGGGCATCATACCAAGGAATTAAAACGTTGATTGACATGAATTATACTCATGAAACGGTTAATTATACAGAAAAATTTGTGGATCCATCGATTGGAGCTCACACACAAACCATCGGATCTTTTTGGCACGTCTACAAGATGCACAGGCAAAGGTAATGAAAAACGGACCTTTTCATGCAAATTATTAATGATATATCCGAATTTCACCCTCTTCAATAAGAACCGAAAGTACAAATTTCATATCCTCTTTTTTCTAATCTCTTCAGGGTGCAGGGGATTAATTTTTGGCGCAGCTTATCTGGAAAAGATCCCTATATACGGTTATCCTACTTAAAATGTAAAAGAATTGGAGCCACTAAAATTATCCCTTTCGTTGGGGTTTCTTATAACGAAGGGGCAGGATGTTTTTAACTGTTTCATAGCCGGACCAATGGGCTCCATACTTTCATTCTGATTACCTCATGGACTATGTGATTGAGTAATAACATGGCATTAAAGGCCATGCGCGAATTATGATTCAAAGAAATCACAGCTCGTTTGCGTCTGACATTACGTTGTACGGTTGGCCCAGTTGTCTGACTATTTCGCAGCAGAGATCCCCAAAAAATTTGACATATGTGCTACACCAGACAAAAACCAATTGTATAAAGTTATACAATCAATTGCCAGTAAATTTATTGTCATGATCAAGAGATTCCGCTGAAATTCAGTCAAATCTTTGGTCAACACCAAGTTAATTTACAAGTGACCGGATAAATCAACTAACGTGCAAGGAGTAGGACTGAAGGAAATTCGAGAACCGTGCCCATCCGACTAAACCTAGAAGGTGCGGAACCGGCATGCAGCTATCAAAGAGGTCTCACCAAGGAAAACAGTTCGCTTTCCGGAACACATTTCCAACCAAAAAATTCAGTGCGCTTAGTAAAGCACACTCGACTGAAGCATGCGATAAACAAGGGAGGTAAGTGAGTCCTAAGTTAGCATCTCAGCTCGCAGAGTGGTTCTTTTCTTCATATCGCTTCAAGTGTTGCAAGCAGTATCTAGTTGCTATATAAGGAACCACTACATACTTGGGCGTCTAGTGTTCTGGGCATCAGCTTGTTGCGAAGAGCTTTCTAACGCTTTTTCCCGGCCTCAGTAGGTCCGCTGTAGAGGCTGTTGGCAACCAAAACCAGGCAGTGTCACTAGCATATCGAAAGTCGGAAGGTTGATAATCCCAAAAAAGCGAACCACGAAAGTTCTAAAGCAAACCTGAACTTCGTGAGTGAATAGATTAACAGGATGGAGTAAGACGGGTCTAGCAGAAGAGGGGGTGAAAATCGTTCCAAAAGACTTACAAACAAGTGTAACCTTAAGCCCTTGGATTGAGAATGCCTTTCGAACGATCGATGTTTCGGTTTATTGGAGCTGCAGTCTTCAAATGACTACGCATGTCTGTCAGGAGTTTTCAAACATTTTTGTAGGTATGCTGGAAAACAATTAGAGCTGGTTTCGAAAGTTAACCAATATTAAGACCAGTCACGGACGACGTTGAAATCTGTCACCGCGATTCTGGTGTGTGTGTGTGTGTAGTAGTAGATGTGTGCGTGACTAGTCTTAGGAAACATGTTCGTACTTCGCTAGAGACCGCTTTTAGCCCACATCTTCGATCAATAGAACAATTGGCCTTAAAGCAACAATGGTATCTCACGCGACTGTCTACTGTGCTATGATCACTGGCCAGTACGACTATGGAAAACGGGCAGCCACCGGAACGGAAGGCCGGCAACTTGAGTTCACGGCTCTTCTATGATGAAGGTCACTGGTGCACCGATAACTGTGCTTCCAAGAGATCGGGACGGAGATGAAAGGCACGATACTTACCAAAGTTGGATGACGCCGAAACACGGAGTTCATGGCCTGGAAGATTATTGGTGTTGTCCACCATCGTGGTTTGAGGACCCGAATTGGTCGCAGTAGCTAATAGAAGTAACGTCTGCTGTAAAGGAGTGAGGAGGCTCGCTGCATTGGATTGAGTTCCGGCTTGCAGAGGGATTCCACTAATCTGAACCAATGCTGGCATTGGGGGACTGGCGACGACTGGTTCAGATAGAGAACACGGTGGAACCAGTATGACCGGCATTGAAGGAGCTGAGATTAACGGTGGCAAACTGCACGGCGATGCTGTATCATTGCCATTCGCGACGACAATCGGGTCACACGATACCTTTAGTGAATGGATAGGTTGGGCTAGACGACGACCTAGATGGATTGTTGTGCTGCTGACCATATTGTTTTCCTTCGAATTGGGAAGTACAGCTACCTGTTTGTGTGCAGCTTGGGCGGCCAGCAGCTGCACCTGAAAAAGGCAGAGAAATTAAGAGTGCAGACCATGCGACAGTGAGAGAAAATCACTACACCCACGCAAATTAGTTCAATTAAGACAAAGCGCACCGCTTTATATGTACCTATTTGTCACTTGCACGAATGACGTGTTGCGGAAAACTATTCTAGAAGAGTGAACTTGTTTAGCATAGAAAAATCAATTCTATCGGCGACCAAAAATTAAGTTTCAAATTCTGCCCGCTGCCCCTAGAAACAAGCTACGAAACTCAAGCATTTGATCTAAAATGTGTAGAACGCACGAGAAAATGTGATCGATTTACCAGCCTAACCGCATCTAAGCTTCGTATATAACGCTTATGCATATCCATGATGGACCATACGTTCGACAATTCAGCTTACCAGCGTCAAACGCAGAAGACAGAGGTACCTAGTTATGGTCTACTCATCGTCATCATCATCACAGCCAGCTGTAATAACCGCGCCACTAACTGACACATTTTATTTCACTGATGATTTGGGGAGTTGGGTAGATAGCTGAGCATTGCAGGCGGGAGCTGATAAATTAGTGCGTAAATAGACGGTTGTCAGTGGAGTTGTAATTAAGGAGATTGGGAGGGGAGCTATACATTGAAGTCAATAGCTTGGATGCACGAGCTCCATTGAATGCGCGACTGGGCCATATCTGACAATGTCTCTAACCATTGATGTGTCCCGTCTCGGGGTCCTCAACCAAAAAGACGGAAATGACCAACACACCTGGGTTTGCTGCTAATGGCTTTCATATTTCGCTGCCAAGCCTTTGTTTGACCTCCACTGACTCGTTGCCATCCTTTACGTGGTTTTGCGAAAAAAGCCCTTTGAGGAAGTCGGCATACGGAGCACGTGAGCGAACCAGCGTAAACTATGGAGCTTCATCAGTTCATCTATCATGGGTGGGTTGTCCCTTCCGAAANAAAACCATTCGACGTATTTCAGCATTGGATCCGGTGTTCCCACCAGAAGTGGGTAATGCTCCGAAAAAATCGATGGTCAAACATTGAAAGTCTTTTGACGTCCTCAACGCACAGAGGCCATGTTTGTAACCCGTATAATATTATGCAGCGCACCGCAGCATTGTAAACTTGACCCATGACGGATAACCTAATGTCACGCCCACGCCACATGTAATGTAGGTTGACGAAAGTTGCCCCGGCCTTCCCAATTCAGATGGAAATATCATATGCGGCTAGACAACCGGGATTGACACATCTACCAAGGTAAACAAATGTGTCTACTGCGTCAACCGGCTCCTCCGTAAGCGTGAGTTTGGGTTTTGAGTTCACCCGGTCTTGCGGTAGCACTTTACACTTTGCAGATGTAAAGTGCATACCAAACCGTGGGGCGAAATTACTTTGATTGTTCTATGTTGTTTGCATCACCACGGTATCCGATCCAAGAAGAGCTATATCGTCTGCGTACTCGACACCTGTGAAAGGATACCCCGGGAGCACTTCGACCCCACAGGCATTAGAGGCTGGTAGCGAGCCTTCCGAAATCGTATCAATGAGGAAGTTGAAGAGGAAAGGTGAAGGAGGACACTTCTGTCTGACACTACTTGGTGTGGTGAACTCAGGCGAGAGCTTCTAGTAGACACTGCCATAGTACTTGATGGTCCACAGAATCAAAGGCAGATTCCGAGTGAAGAAAGACCACCATTGTTGGTTACAGAAAGCAGTGTAGATGTTAGGTAGTCTATCGTAGGATGAAGATGTGATCGATGCATCNTTATGCAGCGCACCGCAGCATTGTAAACTTGACCCATGACGGATAACCTAATGTCACGCCCACGCCACATGTAATGTAGGTTGACGAAAGTTGCCCGGCCTTCTCAATTCAGATGGAAATATCATATTCGGCTAGACAACCGGGACTGGCACATCTACCAAGGTAAGCAAATGTGTCTACTGCGTCAACCGGCTCCTCCCTCCGCGTGAGGTTGGGTTTTGAGTTCACCCGGTCTTGCGGTAGCACTTTACACTTTGCAGATGTAAAATGCATACCAAACCGTGGGGCGAAATTACTTTGATTGTTCTATGTTGTTTGCATCACCACGGTATCCGATCCAAGAAGAGCTATATCGTCTGCGTACTCGACACTTGTGAAAGGACGCCCCGAGAGCACCCCACAGGCATTAGAGGCTGGTAGCGAGCCTTCCGAAATCGTATCAATGAGGAAGTTGAAGAGGAAAGGTGAAGGAGGACACTTCTGTCTGACACTACTTGGTGTGGTGAACTCAGGCGAGAGCTTCTAGTAGACACTGCCATAGTACTTGATGGTCCACAGAATCAAAGGCAGATTCCGAGTGAAGAAAGACCACCATTGTTGGTTACAGAAAGCAGTGTAGATGTTAGGTAGTCTATCGTAGGATGAAGATGTGATCGATGCATCCTCTTACAAGACGGACTGCAGTTTGGTTTTCACGGATCTGTCTCCCTTGTGTTTACTTCACCTACTAAGGATAGGAGTTGAGAGCACCTTCGATGCCACAGCTACCAGGTTCACCCCACGGTGCTTCTTACACAGCGTACCCTTTTCGAAAATAGGAATTACTGTCGAAATGTCTGATTCTGCAGGAACTTTCTTCACTTCATATCACACGAATAAGCCTTGTTAGGTGGGTCACCAGGGAATCTCGGGGATGTGTAAGGTAATCCGATGATCAATACAATTAAAGAGGATGGTGGATGCTTTCGAGGAGGCTGTCATACTGGACTACGCCCGAAAGAAATGACGTCGCGGATTCGTCAGAAGAGTGGATCTCCTCGAAGAGGAGGAGCCGTAGAAGTACTCACTCAAAGGCCTCAGCCTTGCGTCCCAAAGCGCTGCGTTCTGACTCGGCATCAAATTTATTCGAACAAACTGACGCCTTTTGGTGTTGACCTTCGGCGAATTACTTCACTCCACTCTGATGGACATTAATCGTCATGTGTACGAAACAGCCGGAAGGTAAATGACCTATCTGCTTTTTTTCTGAATGGAACCAAGAGACTTTCCAGATTAATTTATATTGTTTAAGTGAGCTACGACTATCATAGATCCAAAGTAAGACAGCCAACACACAATTGCTAGTTTAATGAGACTAATTTATTTGTGATGCATATTTGCTTATTCCTGAGGCAAGATGATTCGGAGTCAGCGGTGGGCTCAAGTGTTATGTACAAAGTCTTATCGGATACAATTCTCCTGAAAGCAGTAAATTGAAGAAACGGATGTTATGTAATTGAGTATGTACGTAATGGGAGACAAGTCGGCGCGATCCCACAGCTTCAGACGTGTCTCTGCCGTCGAGGGAGTGGACCCACACAACTGCGACGCACACCCTACATTTTTAAGTCCTACTAGTAATATGTCAGTCTTCTGTATACTGCCAGCGAAATAACTTTCAATATATCTACTAATCATTCCGTTTTTCAGAGTAAAGTCGCCCCTTCTCATGAGAAAGCCTTGCGAAGAATCACTCTGAAAGACCCACAGCGTCATTCTGTCAGCTACAATCTGCTGTAAGAGGCAGATGGTAGCCTCCCATTGGGGAAATACCATAACATCTTTCCTATTGTTAATTTCATTCTGAAATACGGTATTCAAACCAGAAGTAGCTGTTCGAGCAGGGAGACATCCCAATAAGGGAACACTTTAACTTACCAGTTCCGAAAAGGATACTTGTCCGGACATTACGCCTGGTCGAACACCCGTGGAGGCCGAACTAGGGGGAGAGCCGAACTGATCATGAGTTGGTGGGCCAGAGGACGAAAATTCGCTTTGCATAGGCTGTGCGACACTAGTCGACATGACGGTGGGGAGGGTAGGAATTGCAGATATCTGTGTCGATTGATGGGGAGAAGCCAAACCATGGTTAGAAGAAACTGCCGCATTTCGTAGGGCCTCAGTCTTAAGTGTCAGATGCGTCGCAGACAAAGACGAGTTGGAAAATGCAGCTGGTCGCTGAAGAATGAATGACATGGGAGTTCAGTGAAAACTGTACGCGGTCTCCATGACTGGATGCTATTCAAGAATGTCATCCAGGTTACATTCAGTCTAAAAACTCTTTTGAATAAACGTGGTGATCTATTCAAGTGGTACTGATTGAGCCAGATATAAGCAGTATACATTAACAAGAACAACAGCTAAGCAAATGGTGAACTGGAATGTCCACACGAGTGTGAACTTAAACGAAAGTGAACTATCCAGGTTAAGACCCATAACGATACGGTAGGCCTGGATTATGTGCCTTTCTTCCAAATTAAGCTATGAGCACCACTGGGCAGGAGAAAAAGATTACCATCCATCATCATATCAACATCAATAGAGGAGCAATAAATGCCGGTGTACCAGACTAACGTGGGGGAGGGGTTTAGTGAAGATCAGGATTGAAAGGGAGGGGTAGGTTCCCATTTCAAAATCCTTTGTTACAAGGACAACATTTGAGGGTATCCAAGACTTCAAACAGAAGCGAAGTAAACAGATCTGAGCACCGTATCGAAATAAATGGCCCACGCGGCACCGACCCATGTTATTTAATTGTTACCTAACAAAAACCCAAAGTACCCACGCATCACGCTTGTCATTGGGATCGGTTTCGCGTCATGTCCTGAGGTTCAAACCATGTGCAAGGAGAATCTAGTGGACTGCTTCCAATTCGCACTGCCATATCAAGGTCTGTCCCCAGCGAGCATTTCGGATTAGCAACGAAAAAGAGACCATTCTTTGATAGAACGGTGTTTAAGCACACGTAATGCGAGTGCCAACCACTTCAACCTGATAAGTTTTAGCTTCCATTCAAGCGATCCCGGCCTGCCAATTACTCGTTTATGGACCAAATCATTGCAAACATGCTGCAGCCAATCAACGCCAGCTACTCTACGAAGACATGGATGACAAAAATATCGGAGGGATTCAAAGTTTTCGGAAAGGAGCAGTCGAATTGCGTGGGCATAAAGTAAGACTAACTTCCTGGTAGTTTTGTAGACACAGCCTGCACACAACAGAAATTAGAACATCATGGAGAAGACTATGCAATCTTGAGTGAGACATACGAATCGCCCCGCTGTTGTGCCATACTTGGTGATGCCATTATTTTCAAGTCTTAATTCAGTCTGACTGAGTAGCACAAAAGTTAGTCCTGCGTAGTGAACAAGATAAGAAGGACTGGGGACCAGTGAACCGATCCAATATACTTATGAACAGTGTGTTCAAGTCACAGATTTGCAAAGGTACATTTGAATTGTTCTTCGGATAAAGGTGACATTCTCTCCCATTCTGACAAAAAGCTGTTGGAGTAAACCTGTTGTATATAATTGAAAATGTATTGAATCAATTTATGCTGTAATCTCTGCTAACCCACTCGATTCTGCCTCAGACAACTTTCGGATTAATTTATTTCACGTTCGCTCTCTCTCTCTCTCTATCGAAACATAGATCTCGTCTTGTCATACATCCTGATGATGCCAATTCGCTGAGCGGTATGATATGCGTTGATTGTTGCAAAGGACCCTTTGACTTTTGGTGATAAACTCACGAATGTTACTCCTGACGGCATGATTATGTTCAGTCCTCAATTTTTCTAAACCAGGGAGGCAACTAATTCTTGGACGCTTTGGTCACGCGCACTTGCAGCTAATGAAGAGCATGCAGGCGTTGGTGGATGCTCCTTCGTTTCTCAACATGCGCTGAGCTGCCGCAGGTCATAGTTCGTCACCAGTGGTGACCATAATCAGAGATAGGCCTAAAGGCGCGAGACCAGCAAACGCATCTCGTCTGTAAGTGGCTCCCCTTCGGATCTGGCTAAAACAATTGGATACATCTTCCCTCCTCCCCACTCTCAGCACTTCACTCATCTGGAAGCCATAAATCTGTCCCGTTAAAGAAACAGAGATCCACGTTTAAGCTGGGCAATTTGATTGCAAACGTTTCATCCCAATCGAGGGTGACATCATCAGTGCGTTATTGTGGAGCGTAGTAGTGCGTAGTGGTGGGTTGGTGGTTGTGCGTTGGGTAGTGTTGTGCGTGTGTTAATATACGTGCTGCTAGCAGGGGATGACCTTTGGTCGCGATTAGTTGTTCGCTCGGGTGATTCCATTGGTTGCTCCGTTGTCCTGTATCCCCATTCGCCGATGCCCACGTGACCTTTGAGCTTGGCATCCCCTCCGTCGTAATCTGGTCGAAGCTAGGTTGACCTTTGTCCCTTCCAGTCCTGGGTTGTGACCTTTATTGATTTGCCTCCAAGGAGTTCCTTGTTTCGTTGTTTGTGAATCCAATATTCGGTCTTCCTTGAGTTTTCNAATTGCCCAGCTCAGCGAACAAGCCAACGACCACCATCTACGATACCTGAGCTACCAACATTTTCCGCTATTCACGTTTAACTTAAGACCTTCACTTCCTTCTTTTCTCCTACTAATCCTGTCAGTATGCGCAGTCTCTCTGACTCACTTAACTTCGACAGTTATTACCACGAGGGATATTCGCCGTTCTGCCATAACTGTACACTTCCGAACCAGCTGGTTCAAATGGTAATTCTTCTACTGAGCTTTTCCGAAACATTCCAGAACCCTTTTGTCTGGTTTTATTTCGTAGAGATTCTCCTCCAAGATGTGAAATTTGTTCGTCCTTGTCATTTACAAACGAGAGACCATTGGATACAAGGGTGGTATGCTCACGGTCATGCCGGACATGAAAGATTGCTGCTTATCCTGGATGTGACGCAGCTGACAAGGGAATTTCCTGCCTTTCTGCCAACTTCACATGTCATTCATTACGATTATTATTGTTGATTTTGGGTAGTATGTGCCGGACGGATAATGAGGGCGGAATCGGAAGGAGAGTGAATGAAAACCTAAGACTATGCACAATCAGTGCAATTTACCCAAGCGCGTCAGAAATGACTATGTTTACGGCCAATGAGTGGATTTCATTCGGTTTAGGAATTTACGAGCAAACTTATTGAGGTGCATAAACGGGTCATTATGTTCAATGCTTCATGTCAATGTGCCGCTGGGCGTATGTGTTTCCGGTTAAGGCAGTGCAGCCGAACGTTGCTTCTTCAGCGGAACGATCTGCGTGGAAAGTATCGACTTGGCTCCGCAATGTTGCAAACTGTCTGCAACTCTACCTCACTGGGCTTCGAAACCATTAAATACAGAAGCCCGCACATTTTCGCTACATTTGTCTGTTAATCAGTCCCGTGAAGTGAGTTCGAAAAAGCTATTATGTAATATCTAATTTATTACGGCCTTTTGGATCGATTGGCCGAATGAGCAAAGGACACGAACAGACAACCATGTGTATGCTAGGAACATGAAAACCAAAAAAAACAACTTCAGAAGAGGCACGAATGCTGAGATTGACATCGGGAATTTGTATGACTTCAACACTCAAAAGTACCTACATCCATTTCCCGGGCGAGATGGACGAAGTGGTTAGAGAGCGAAAGGTTGCTGCAGCTGAGCGACATCCATTTCCCCACAGTTGATGATTCCGTTGACGAGTTATAATCAGACAGGTCTAAAAAGCATCCTCTGAGTACCGGCAAACTATATATTTCGCATTTTTTCGGGGCGTCAGTGCTAGGTAAAATAGGGGTATCGGTTTCCCCAGTTGACCGGATAGGTATTAGTTTGAGTCCTATGTCAGCAACATCACCAATCTTAGTCCCATCACACCTGGCTCACGTTAGACTACAGTATAAACAAGCGTTTCTCTCCTATACACATGGCTGTCGTTCAATCGGTCACTAATCCAGGCGATCTTAACGAGACAACAGCAGTTACATGACAACCGCACTGGCGTGATATTTCGTAGTACAGGTATCACGATTGCTTATTACCGCCAGCAATCCCTGAAAAAATTGTGAGGTTCATGAACACAGTGTTCCAACCGTTCCACGAAGGACATGGAGCGGGGGTAGTTCTCATCCGACAACCGAAATGTGGGTCAAAAATTCACTATCAAATCACCTATCGATTCTAGACCGGAGGTAACTCTTCGATGCCTTTTCAAGTGGTCTTCATGGAGCAGTTGTCGTTTAGGAAGCCGTCTCATAGTTTGAAATAATGGTGAGGACGGATTTTACATCCCTAATATGGAATCCGTATAAGGAGGGTCATTAGTTACTTCACCACAGCAACCCTAATAATATCCTATCATGCACTGAGTCGAATTGGACAACACCCAGTTAGGATTTGTTGAGCTGTTTCCCATGAGCAGTCTCTGCTTCTGGGTATCACAATGCTTAAACTCGCAATAATTTACCGGAAATGGACAAGAAAGAACAGAAATTTATTCAAGCTACTGCCACAAATTGCCTACCTGATCAGCCGACGAACAAGAATTCGAGACGTCCAAGCCCACAGCCTGAGAAATGTGGGGCCTTGAATCAGAAATCACCGCACGCTTTTTTCGCTTCATATCATCACCATCGTCGGTACCTGTTTTTTCTTTTTCCATAGCCCTTCTGGCGGCTGAGAGAATATCACTAATACGACGTTGTGTTTCCAAGTCTAACTGCCTGGAAGATTTGCGTGTAGCATATTGATGGGCCGACGTGTTCCTGTTGGGCACCGTCAGGTTAGTAAGCACGGTGGCCAAAATACTTGTAGACCCGTGCTGGACATCAGAAATGCAACGATCCTGCTCATTTGCTGAATCCATAGTTGGCATGGAGCTAAAGGAGTTAGGAGAAATTGATGCTTCCAAAGGAGAGGGTAGAACTGGTTCACCTGGATTGTCCGAATCATCCAACAAGTCTTGACTGGTTGGAGTTTCATCTGTGCCAGACACGGTCCATGGAGAGGGGCAGTCAGATTGAAGAGAACGTGGGGCGGTTGTAAAGGGAGACTCGCAAGCCGTGAAGGTCCCATGAGGGCCTGGGAGTGAATAAAAGTAAACTGACGAGTGTTACCAAAGTACACCGAAAGTAAACGGATGAAGAATGTCTGCCATCATTCTGTCGTGCATTTTCTACGGTTTAGTATAATATCTAGTGAGTCCTATGGATGAGAAACACAAAATCACACGCCTGAAAACAAAGTTCTTTACTAGTCCGTCCATCCCACAGTGGGACTTTTCCGCATGGACATTAAATCACCGTGTGATAACAAGAGTATTTTTTCAAAGAATAAACAGAGATGACGTGGAAGATAAATAGCAAGGGCAATAGGAAACAAGAAACGAATGTATCCAAACACCGTGGCGCTTGAAAAAAGGGCAACGCACCTCCCGCAGCGTTCGCATCACTCTTCAACCAGGTGTCCAACTGCAAATAAATTTCACGAGCATGAGAGGAAAGCTGTGACCAGGGTTTGGGTTTGCGCAACAGGTAGCTTAGAGTCCTGTAATTGGTCCCTTTCAACTCAGAGCTCAACATGCGGCGCGAAACGTTCAAAAACAATAGCCGGCGCCGTACTTCACCAACAAGCTTAACGGTATCGAGGCTCACTGAGGGTGACCAGACGTCGTTTGGTGACACGCTTAGTCCGGTTGGCTGAGTAACCGATGGGATAGAGACAACTAGCGGATGAGAAGATTCGTCTGGTAAGGGTGAATCAACAATTCCGTCGGGCTTGGACTGGGACTGTCGGGTGAAATTCTCAACTTTGTCAACTGAAATCACCTTATTGGGCTCAGCGGTAAGTGAGGTGTGGTCGGTAGACAGTAGGGGTGATTGGCGAGTCGGTCCAACAGTAGTCGGAGCGACCGAGAATGTGGACCAATTGGAGGTTTCTGAAGTATTTCCTGTTTCTGACATTCGAGGGATTAGTATCTCGCCGAAGACCGATGGTGGATACCAGGTGGTCGATGCTGTCATCTTAGAAGGGTCCGATGTCACTGTGCTGGCCAAAGCTGAACCAAAGGACTGGGTAAAGGTGACTGAAGGAACAGTAAAAAAGAGTACTCATGATGAATACGAGAACTAAGATTCGCTGAGTTAGGACTCATTTACCTTGTCGATGCACAAATTGATAAGAGTGAAAATGGAAAGTATCCGGTGTGGAACGAAATCGAATACCATCTGGGGAGAAGTGTACTAAATGTACTTCGAAACCTGCGACACGAATATCCCAGTACTTATCATGTACTGGCGAATCGGCAGTTCGGGTGTGTTTATTGGTTGTTGGCCTGTTAACCAAGCTCGGAGACATTTCCTCGAATACTGACGAAACTTTTGGGGACTAACTGCCCAGCTGAGGAGACCAGTAACCAACTTACCGGACATTTCTAGGTATTTTCCTCATCTTGGACCCACTATACAGATGAAGGTTTGGCACTGATGCCAAAAAAATACGGTGCCTCGTCTGGAGAACCGATGTTCAGTTTCTCGATGAATTCACACTTAAGAAATCTACACTTTCTCTACCAACAACAAGGACACCCTATAAAACGGCCAAGTCTATCTGAACTTTACGGATCAGGTTTACGGTAGTTATATTAATCTGTCACTGTAATTCTGGCTGATGAAAACAATAAGATGTGATATTTTCCTATTATGAATGCACATCTTCATGCACGGAAGCCATAGAGAGATGGCACCACTGCATAGCATGGCTAAACCAATTCAGTTCAATAATGAAATGAAAACAGGTTGATTTTTAGGATTAATCGCATGGTACCAAACAAATTTTAAAAAGTACTTGTAGCTGCATAGAAGGGGGAAGTAAGCTGGGCTGCGGCATTCCTATGCGAAGTACGTGATGTTTGTATAACTCCATCGATTATACGGGATGGTATACTACCAAGCCCCCCTCACAGTTAAAGCCTTTAGCTTAAAAGCCTGACTGGAAAGCAGTACATTAGTGCCCATATGGAAGCACCTTCGAAGGAACAAGTCGCCGTATATGTCCAGTACCACCAACCAGGAGAACTGCAGGATGGCGTTTGTCGGATTAACGTCCACTGCCGGGTCTTGTACAGGAACCAATGGGTTTTACAACAGAACCTCAAAGCAGAGCTCTGTGGGTCACGGGGTACGCACTGTGTCCTCCCGAAAGTGGATCTGGTCCAAAAATAAAACGAATATTTTTGGATGGTCCAAACGGTTTACTATACTTTTTGATGTATCCATTCCTTCTGGCACTATTGTGGGAACCTCCGCTACTATTGGGAGTGCTGAAAATTCACCACCTGATGATCCGTAAAGATTGACTTGCGTTGACTCCTCGCGTGAATGAATCTAGGATAATCACAGGATATCGACTGAATGCAGTCTGCCGAAGAGACCGAATGTCACTTTTTTGCCTCCGTAATTTGTCTACTCTGTGACGATTGCAAGCAATTCCATCCTGGTTTCCAACGTATTCGATCGATACGATCACTGGTTGCAATAACGTGGTCTTTTTAGCCTCAAACTCCTGACCGCCACGAGAAATTAAGGTGGACCTATGGTACACAATGTGGATTCGGAAGAGTCACGTGGCTTCAAGCCATGATACCAAATTAATACCATCGTAGCGTGGTGAGAAGTCTAAGTTTAACGAGGAGTTGGGATGCAAAACTGTCGGTACGGTGCTTGTGGAATATAGAGTCAGTATCATTCAAATAATCTCTGTTATTGATATTAAAGAAGGGAGTTTTACTGTTAAAAAGGCTCTGTAAGACATAGGCGAGGCGAAGGTCATGAAAAGCCATAGGTAATCTAGTATCGTTATAACTGTTGCAGGGTGGTACTGGCTCCGCCAATATTTTCCGGTATTTGGTTAACCATACCACTTAACACAGGTTCCTAAGAAAAGTTTTCTTCGCTTTCGCGGAAATGATAAACTAACAAACCTGGAAGTTGAGGTTCTGTGTTCAAGGAAGCCGGCAGTACTTTGACGGGTGGTGGTTCTGAATTCAGGCAAAAGTTATTGATAAATGTACCACGGTTGTCGCCCGAGGAGATCAAGGAGCTCGTCAAAAGGTCCTCAGAAGATGGGTTGATGATACCATTTAAAGAGGGTACCTCCAGATGATCGGTGTTTGATGCGGTAAACGAAGCGAGAAGCATTGTACGCAGAGAGGTAAACGCATGCTGGACGGCGACCAACTGTCGTCGAAGTGAAGCCATCTCCTCTGATAGGGAAGAGTACTAGCGAAATTGAAGACGAAAGTTGATACACGGTGAGAAACTAGGCTTAGCAAATGAAGACTCAACCATTCTACAAGTAAATATATCAAGAGTATCCTAACTAACAATCGGAATCAAAAGAAATAAAATAAGCTCATGTTAAGTGAGCAGGTTATCAAAGTAGCAAGGTCAGTGCATGAAATAGGGGGACGGGTAGGAGGGAGGTGCAAGCTACCCCTCCGTTTTAATCAACTATTTTGCTGTGGGAGCTAAGGAGAGATGATTTCGAGACAAAGCAGCAGCGGATAAATATATAAGGATGTAAATCAAACGGGACAGTCAATTACGTCAAGTATAACCACGTGAAGTGGAGTGAAGGGAGGATTTGTTTGACAGTTACCTTTGATTGCATCTCTTCCAATCGGAGGTGATTCAATAGGCATTGTCGATGGTCAACTGCGGGAATATCATCACGTTGACAAGTGTACACAACTGGACCATTCTCGGAAGTACGTGAACCTCCTGGATTTCTGTAAACAGATTCGAAAACAACACTGACTGGATTTAAGAAAACTACGTCAAAGTTTCAAGGGGGCTACCTCGTATGAACTGTGGTGTAAATTTCAACGTAAGATACAATTTGAGAATGGATGAGGTGAATCGTACAACAGAGTACCACTTCTCAGACTGTACGGAAAGCCCCCCAGAAGAGAGGTATATCCTCTTAAGAGGTTCGTGCAGATGAATGGTGTTGTCGAAGACACCTCACATTTTGACCACCAGATTGCGTGTGTTGAAAGCTGTTGAAAGTCAGCGTGACTACAAAAAGTGGACTTCATACACGCTTCAGAGGTGGAAGACAAAGAGGAAGTGAACCTCACCCATCGGGAGCTTAAAACTAGATCGATCTGTTGTCCATATCACAACCAATGCTCATCATTGAAACGACGAACATAAAAGTTAGGCTCGGCTCAGTTGACTTTTTCAGCTATACATTGGGTACCAATGCTGTTGCATTTTCGTTTACCAAGGAAAAAGGAGAAGTACGGAATGACAGACGCGGTGAAGTCGTAAGCATTAATTTACAGTTTCGCAGACACCGTCCCCAGTTGCATTGCGGATGCCTTAAATAGCCCGGAATTCTGCTATAACCGTTATTGATGGTGACTGTCTGGCCTTTGCATTACTTCGTTGAAAACCGAACCGATCTTCGAAAAAGCAAACTCGCTTCACTAAAACTATAGAGATGAGTTACTTACCGAGAGAAATGAGGTCACACATCCGGAACCTTACCTTCTAAGAAAACTCGTTCACTTCATCGTCGGAGTCCATCATAACAGTGGTAGACAATAAATATGAAAAACAGTTTGAAATAGGCCCTTGTTCCGATAAAATGAGATAGGTTGAACCGAGTCGTTAACTCATATCACAAATCCGTTAAGTAGGCAGACTATTTGTGGGTAGTCAATGACCAGATACATCGGGGTTTTCGAACGAGCGGTGTTCCACTGTTAACCGCAACACCACTCAGTAAGTGACAAAACAAAACGATCGGCCATGACAGTTAGGAACCACTGAGACTTTGGATCGTATCACCGTATGTGTATACTAATATATGTGCCAAAGGAGTTAGTGGATCAAACTGAATGAAATGATGGGGCAGAACCAACCGAATTCCACTATAATGTCCATGAGCGAAGAGGCATTCTGCACTGTTACGCTCCACCGAATGATCCTATATCCACTAAAACAGCCAAAAGGATGAAGGAAAATCGCCACATCGCTCTTCCTGACTATGTATTACCTCAAAGTTATGAGAAAAAAGAGTGGGAAACCGGACCTAATTGTCTAACCATGAATGTTACCTGGTCACACAAAAATCGCACTTCGCGAAGAGCGAAAAACTGCTCACCTAAGCAACCGCTTCAAATGCCGATGGCATTTTTTCAATAACTTATGTTTCTTCGAACTCGCTGTCGTCTGCTTCTGAGGATCGGGACAAACGGAGGCTTCAGCATCACTCGACAGGGGTGATGGTTGGTTCAGGGTGTTAATGGAAGTAGAAACAGGATTCACGCCACAGACGACGGGTGGACAAGGAACGTGATAGTGTTGAACGACTGACGGTACGGTCGCATCTTGTGGAACATGCACCAGCAAAGATGATGCTAAGATGGAATGAGGAGCTTCGTGTTCGGCTGACTGTTCGACGGATAGGCTGCAGGTACTTTGCTCGGGCTTAGGAGTGCACACAACAGGTAAACCAACGTCAGGAGAATGTTGTGGGTCTGTAGCAGATGAGCTAAGAGCTTGACCGTACGCTGACGGTTTTATCAAGCCTTGAGGATTCATTGTCACCGGATCAAACAGGAGTTTTCATACATAATAAGTAGAATCCTGAGCATGTCCAATAAAATCTGCAGTAAAGTAAAAAATGCTGCATAAAGTCATATGACATTGTTGGAAGTGCAAGGGTGGCTTGTAGACTAGACTTAGAGGGAGGAATTTTCGCTCTACCGCTCTTAGCTGGAACAGAGCTGATCTAATCCAACATCAGCGCTGAAATCAAACAGCCGTTGAGCTGTAACACCATTTCGGTGTCTATCTACCACGCTACCCGAAGGAAGCACGATGGCTGAGATACTGCCAGGCTGCCCAAACATAGACAGGAACAGTCGACATGGTAAGGCTGAATTCAAACCACGGAGCTTCCGGTCCGTAAGCTGGTGCTTCAACAACTGAGCTATCTCGGACTCAATATCGAAAGGCTTCTAAACAAATTGGCGAGTGTAAGAGTTGCACAGTAACTCCAGCGGCACCGGTTCAATTCAACGAAGAATGCTAGACTGGCAGAAGAGCTACATTTCTGAGGGAAGAGCATAACACATTGATGCGTGCATCTAGTTATGACGGCGTTATTCTGGAGCAAAAGAACCTACACCGGAGGTTTGAAGAATCTAACGTTGGCTCGTTCCCACATCAACTGTCTTTTCAGTGTGACTTTCCAGAAGCTCTCAACGAACAAACTCCATGGGTAGCAGTCCAGTACATGACACTCATACACGTGCTATGAGCCTAAATTGAACGCTCAAACTACCGTCCGAGAGGGTTCAAAAGCTTGTTTTGCCGTTGAAGCGCCCCGAAGACCGATCATGTCCCGTACCAGTGGCGTGAACCATTAGTTGCAGCCCGCACAACCCCTGACTGTTAGTTTTAGGGGCTGTTCTACAAGCAAATGTGGATTTACCGATCTAGGTCCCGACAACATTCTTGGTAAATGACTTCTTGATGAAACGACTGAACACACCAAGTACCCCGGCCGATGTGTTTCGAGTCAGTGTGATGCACCAGGTGAGACCACGTCGTATTGAACTGCAGCTTGAAGTGCCGGTGACCTCCTCTAATGAACCAATTCAAGTAACCAAGAGGTCGTCACAGTGACGGTTTTTATTCTTGAAAACCTCTATCAAACAATCGTTAAGTTGAAGATGGGTGACACCCCAGACGGGTCATTTTTCCGACGCGGTCAGCGAAGGTGTTTTTCAGAAGTGATGCACCGGGAACACAGTAGACAAGTGAACAGGCTTTTGATAAGACACGCGAGCTATGCACGCTATATAAACTATTGGGTTTGATGTTAATGTGTAATGGTGTAATGCTACAATCAACGGTGTAATTTCAGAGGCAATCCATATGGCTTAGTGTCTTACGCAGACATTATCCTTGGACCTGCCATGATCACAACTGGTCATAAAGCCCCATTCCATTTTGTTGCGAATCCACGTCACCTTGGAAAAGGAACGCTATGGAGCTACCAAGTATCAAGTAAGGTGTCGGAATGCGATCTCAATAGTTGCTTGGGGGCTTTCGCTGAATTTAAGCTGAGATATCATGACTGACTTTACCATACGCTGTTGCGCGCAGTTGGCTCCCAAAGGTGTGAGCATGTATGTTATTGAAATCATTACCTAGTGTTGCATCCAGCCAACCCGATGAAATCAGAGTGGTGGTTGACTGCATAAGCCAGATTGGTAACTTTCCTCTGAAGAGTTCTTATCCAAAAAGGCAAGAGCATCATAATCCGATATCAGGGTCAAGTTCTGCCTGGTTCCATCGAGATGCCCTGGCTTCAACTGGTAGTCAACCGATGGTAAATTGAAGAGTATCCGTTTATTTGGGACAGATGCTTATCCTAAATTTACATTTTAACCGTCCAAAGATCGAAGATCAATCAGAATACACGGTCACCGTTTTGGGTCTTGCTATTGACTCTGATGAAACGGATTTCCTGCAACCGAGATTTCGTTACTCATCAGCTAGGTGAAATAAATAATCCGCAGCTAAAACCTACCAGGTCCTTCGAATGTGACTTGGTACTAAGTGGAACTTACCGGAGAATCGGTTACAGGAATGGTTGTGATCGGCTAAGTCATCCATTACGCCATTCTTGAATGCAAGTTATGATCCAGTTGGCGTTGTACGGTCACTGTATCGGGAGTAGGATGAGGCGCTGTCAGATATATATATATATATATATATATAT